AAATTATTCTTTTTGCACAGAAAATCGCTTATTTACCTTTGGGAGAAAATGGATCGTTTGATACGATGTTTTCCATTTTTGTTTAATTCTACTGCTTCGAATTTTCATCAGGAGCTACGTTTTTACTTTTTGCTGCTTGTAAAACGCCTACAATGTGCCCGTTGTTTTCACTTTGTTTTGTTAGAAAAACCTCCAGTTTATTTCCACGACCGCCACACAGTTCCGTCATTTGAAGGAGATAAGATGACTTTTCTAGGTGTGACTCTTGTACTAGTCGAGGTAATACAGTTGCAGAAGTTAAAACATGCGATGTGTCATTCTCTGCAACTTCAAAAACCTTTATAGCAATTTAGATGCATTCTTCTACACAATCTTCTCAGCGACATTTGACGAAAAAATGAGGTCACAGGGATGCAGGTGACAGTGTGACACAATTTAGATTAAATATAGGAATGTAAGAGAAAACTCACTTTCTCACCTAGATAGGCAAGAATTGCATCTTCTGTAACGAAAAAAACGGTGGTTTTCTGTAGCCATTGACAAAAACTTGAATAAACCTTCTTTCAGTTTTGCTTTTTCTAATACTGTGCAGTCTGAACCACGGCTCACCCTCAGTGGCGTTTGATGCAAATCAGGGTTTATCTAATCAAGATCATCACGAAAATTGTTATGTTGAACAGTCATTTTTAATTTTTAAAGCATTTTAACATCTAGGAGAACTCGTATAACTGAGGAAAACCGCGAAAAAGTAGTCATTTCCGAAATTGTAGGCCACGATTGCAATAGTGCTGGCGATCGGACGGCAATGAGGATCACTTCCGCAATGCCGAAGTCTGTTAATAACTGTATCATACTCACTCGTTTGGACACATTAGGTTCATTGTCTCCTGTCATAATGATACCTATTAGTAGTTTACGCAGAACTAGAAGATATGTAAATAAAAAAAAACAAAAATGTGGTTCTTTTCATTCTTCGGAGTACCTAATTATATGCTGACGTCTAAGCAAAATGTTACTTTTTTTCTTCCAGTATTCTTTCTGTAGTCCAGTATTCTTATTTCGCAGTCATAAACGTTTAAACATTCGTTTATGCCGCTTGGAATTTCGGAATTGAGGCGTGCACAATACACGACCTTTTTATCTTGTGTACTTTCAGACACAAATTAACTAACCACATCACGTGTGTCACTACCGAAGCCCATTTCGCTAATACCGCTATGCCAATAACTCGTAAACGTGAATTAAGGTAGTTAAAATGTTCATCGGTACCCAAGTCGAATTTGGCATAACGTGGAATAGGAATATCATGTAAATTGGTTCCGAACATCTGTAATTAAAGTTATACCTATTCCACAACAAATGTACGGCTGCGATGTTGGTCTCCGTATTCTCAGATCAGAGGTTTACTTTTGTGGTTATTGGTTTTAAGAGTGATCTTTCCACCGATTTTTGGACGCAGTAACACGGGAAAAACCAAATGTATCGTTATTCTCGATAGATTTACACAGTTTATAAACGGCATCGCAATAAATGGTGTCGGTTATTTCGATTTTTTAACAGAACCGGAGTTTAATGAACTAGAAATGTAAATGAGCTCGAGTGTCTATCTGAGTTTGTTGCGTTTTTTCAAATCAAATCAATCTTTTTTTTAAGTAGGTATAATATTTTGTGCACACAGCTTAAAACTACAAAAATGTCTACTTTGTTAAATTAGTTAATACTCCTACTAATAATAATTAATCTATGAAGACAAGTTTTTCTGTGGAATTGTAATTTATTTTTATTCCACAACTACCTACCACAGTTATTTTATTACGTCCCGAGCGTAGGCTAAGGAAGTATTGTAATCGAGTCCATTGGGCGACTGGCTGCTTTCATATTTTCTCGAGTATCCCTAGAGTACGAAAAAATAGATCTCCCATTTCTATCTGTGTGTATGTGTGTTTGTTCTTCGTCTGTATCGCTTTTTGTTAGACAGACTCAAAGACGAATAGAATCTTCGTAAGAAAAATAGGATCGCTCAATATAGGAACAGTCTTAACATATCTAAGAATTTTAGAAGAAGTTGTGCTGCCATCCGTTTTTTTCCGTGTTTATTTTAGGATGTAATTATGTATTATTACTTCCTAGGCGTCAGTTAAGGCAGTATAGTAGTCGACCCCATTGTCAAATTGCCACTTTCATGTTCTCTCGACGTTTCATGACCCCTAGAGTACGAAAAAAGTGGTGTCCCGTTTCCGTCTGGCTGTCGTTTGTGTCGATTTTTATTTGATATAATCTCGGAAACTGCTGGACTGATTGTTGTTAAATTTTCTCTGTATATTAGGAAAATGATGTAGGTGGCAAAACGCGAACCAGAATTTGGTTAATCATCCCCCCTATCAATGTGATGACGTCACCTCAAAATTATATATAGTGAATGGGTTTTAAATAGTGTAAAATAACATAGTCCTACATATGAATCCGTGTTGAATTTTTATCCCCAGCATCCAGATTTTTGAGAAAAAATAAAAATTGTATTACATTTTGCAATTTTATTTTGAATCTGGTAAAAAAAATTAATAAATTAATATACAGGCATTGGCTTCTAAACGACAACTTCAGTAATACCACCGTCTGAATTACCAAAACATGATTTTCAATTTTTTTAAGTCGACTTGGTGGTTAGGTCGTGGACTAAACTCTCTTTGTAAACGTACTTACTCATTGTATCGTATAGTTGTGAAACTGGGCGCGTAGCTGATAACTCATAACTATGCCGCGATCTACAGCGCCTTTCACCCTAGACGGAGAGCCGAAGAAAGGTAGGTTACTTTTCGGATGTAAATCATCGCCGCCAATATACCTATACCTACGTATATATAAATGAAAAATACGAACTCGAGGGATATATCTTGAAAACGGATAGAGATGTTGAAATTCAGTAAATGATGCTGTTTTCGGCATGAAAGGAGAAACTTTATGTAGTATGTAGTACATTGCAAAAATGGCACATGTTTTTCTTTTTCAGCATAAACAAAATAAAATTGACTTTGATTAGTAGTGATACTACCATTTTATTTTACAATCAATAGTACGATATGTTTCAAAAACAGTTGTTTAAGCATACATATGTCTGAACTGACTTCCTTCACACTGAACTCAAAACGTCTGTTAGTTGACAACTTGGGCTGTTAATAGACTGTTATGTGTTGAAGAGGCACAAATAATATAAATCAGTTTTTTTAATCTTTTTATTTGTTCCTCACTGGTAAATATCAATTTATCAAGTCGCTGTTTTCAACTTGAAAATGTCTTTTAACTGCCTGGCCTGTAAAAATTTTACTGACTAGAGAGTAAAATTTTTAGACCTCTACTCTACTCATATATTTTAAACTATTATAATTTGAAATGGCAGCCAAAGTTGATTCAGGCAAACTTGCAGTCACACTTGCGGCTTTGTCAGTAATATAGGTTGTGCCACACTCATTTCAATAAATCGAAACGATAAAACGAAAAATCTTATAAATGACACAACTAAACAACACAATAAGTGCCGTGTTGACGTGCGTTTCCAAGGCTACACGTCTAAAGCTCATACGATTTTTTGTTTAATATTGGAATCAAATTCCAATACTTTACGTCACTAGTATCAGCCTGGGAAAATGGACAAATCCCTGTAAAGTGTTACTGTGATTATGCAATGATTTAATATTTACTAAAATACACTAATCAACATTATTTTGTTAAAAAGCTGTTGCTAGGAATGCCACAAAAAGTGACAAAATTAATTTTTTTCCGTCAGGTAATTGTGAAAATATTTAATTGTAAAATTTTAGTTAAATAAAGTTGGTGACAGTATGAAATATTATGTATTTCATAACGTGTAGTAGTAATTAACATTACAAGTCGGTGAACATTTTTTACAGTATCCGTGTCAAGTTTCAGGACTCGGCGCCCTACAGTTGCCTCGCTATCGCTCGGATTTTGAACTGACATTTGCGGCTGTTGTGACATTTATTACATCCTAGCATCCTACGTATGTTAATAGCTATAACAATATACGCATGGTAACGGTTTTACTGGCTCCAGAAGGTGCAGATTTTTTATGTATCACCACAAAAACAGATCCAACGGTGACAATTTTGAGCCCGGAGCTGTGATTTCATTTGCTTCTTTCTTGCAAGTTGTGCAGCTATTTCTTCGACCAGCGTCGCCAAAAGTACTGTTTCAAGCTCTTCATGAGCTATACCGATTGAAACGGTTAGCACATAATTCAACAAAAATGGACTCTACAGGAACTGTTAACGGGCATCGATGAGAAAATGACCAGGAGTTGACTAAGTTAGTTGGATAAAATTGGACGGAAATTCATGGATGCTTCTATCATTGCCAATGAGATAATTCTCATTCTAATCCTCACCTTTAACACAGGTTTTTTCCGAGTTAAGAATCTAATAGTGTCGGTATGGTTATCCGAAAGTACCCTTCAAGTTTTTGTTGGACCCTACTTATCCAACCAAACTACAAAATTCGCTTACCTACTCAGTGTAAATTTACATTTTAACTCTTCTGTGTAGATAATTTTCCGGAAAATTTTGGACCTATGAGTGAAGACCAGATTGAGAAGTTTAATTGGGGCATAAAAAAAAACAAAACACTACTTGAGACCAACTCTATCAATAGTCGAAAAAAATCTAACAAGATAAAATTTGCTTCCGACCAAGGATAGTAAAACATTCATCATTTTTTAGTCTTTGCAGCATTTAGTTAATTACATTATACTTTCATTGGATAAATATATATTTCGTTAATATACATACATTTTACAAAAATGTCTCTATTTTTGTATTGTAGCAAAATTCAGAGCAGTAAAAAATTTTAATGTGACCTAGAAGATTTTATGTTATTTCGGGGATCCTCATGTAAACTTAACCGTAAGATTTTTTAATGCGGACGTATGTAATCAGTCTTATAGTGCGGATTCCCCAAGCTCAATTTGTTTTCAAAAGTGCCCAAACTTTGCTTGTTATTGTTTTTATTTCTTACATTATGTACACCTACAACAATTAACTATAACTATTGAATCACAGCTTAACTTTTCTTCCTCCAGTCTTCTTTTATCATATCTGCCGCCTTCTCAGCAATCATAAACGTTGGAGCGTTCGTATGTGCTGCCGGAATTACAGGCATAATCGAAGCGTCGGCAACACGCAAACCCTTGATTCCGTACACTTTTAGTCTGGGGTCCACTACAGCCCTTTTATCACTAGAAGGTCCCATTTTGCACGTACCACTCTGATGGTAAATTGTGAACGTGAAGTGACGCGCCATGCAGTTGAAATAATCGTCACTACCGTATCCAAACTTGCTGCACTGTGGTAATGGAATATCGTGTAATTTTGTGTTTAATACTTTTAGTGCTGGTTGCTCGGTAATATTCAAGAGCAAGCGTACACCTCCGATGATTGTTGCCATGTCTTCATCGTACGCGAAATAGTTGGGAAAGATGTAAGGTTTAGTTTTGTAATTGTTGTTCTTGAGCATGATCCTTCCTTTACTCTTGGGACGCATCAACATTGGGAAGACCATGAAGGTGTCGTAGTTCTCGATAGGTTTGTAGACGGCGTTGTAGATGTCGTCGGTTATTCCAAAGTCTTTGCGGAGAAGAGGATCAGAAACTATGGAACCGGATATGAAGAGGAGTTCGATGTCGGGATATCCGTCTGGATCCGTAGGATTCTTCAAATCATGGAAGACTAAGACCTCGCAACCCCCTGGTATCGATAAAGGACCCTTGTGGTAATTTAGATACATTCGCATATTGTCAACAGAAATCATCCTTTCGGTGTTCAAAGAGTAGGGTTTGTTGATGAGGAAGGTCAATCCTCCAACGGCTATGTGGTCCATGAGGTTGAATCCGACTTTCAAATTTGACAAAACTGGGATGCCCATCTGAGTCAAATGTTTCCTGGGACCAATCCCCGAGAGCATAAGCAGCTGCGGAGAATTGACGGCCCCAGCAGACACCACCACCTCTTTGGTGGCCCTCACCACGTACTTCGTTCCCTGTTTGTGAAACTCGACACCAAGAGCTTGTTTCGTCTTAGGGTCAATCAAGATCTTACTAACCATGGCTTCCTTTTTCACGTGGAGGTTTGGTCGCTCTCTGATAGGATGCAAATATGCCCTGCTCGAGCTTGCTCTTACTCCGTCCCTCATGGTGACTTGCAATCGGGATACTCCCACTTGCGTGGGTCCATTATAATCGACGTACTTAAGCCCGAGTTGTTTGCTTGCTTCAATGATGGCGTCCGCGATTTTCGTCTTGTATGGCACATAGCTGACATCTAAATACCCGTCTTGGTTATGGTACGATTCATGTGGTGAGTCTGGAACGCTGAAGTTTTCTACTTTTTTGTAGTAGGGCAGAACATCTTTGTATGACCAGCCTACGTTGCCCATTTTTGCCCAGTTGTCAAAGTCGCGGTGGTTGCCGCGAGTGTAGATCATGTAATTGAGTACGCTTGAGCCACCCATGACTTTTCCACGCGGCCAGTTGCATTGTTGGTTGTCCATACCCATACAGAAGCGGTTGCTAGGCATGGTTTTATATTTCCAGTTGCCGTCAGTGAATTGGAGGTAGTTGGCGAGGATGGGCAAATCCATGAGGTAGTTTTCGGTCCGACCTGAGGGAAAGGCGAAAGATTTATTATTTGGTTTTTACGGTTGAATGTATAGGTACTTGGGTCCTAATAATAACTTATTAAGACTTTATTGTACGGGTTTTTGAAATGATTATATAGCGGATTTAATGCAAAATGCATATCGCGTTGATATTTTGCAATGAAAAGCATTTGTAGATGCTTTAACTGCTTAGTTCAATATCATGCAAAATTTAATAAACGGTATGTTTATATGTTTAATTATTCCTACGGTGTAAATTAATTTACGTTGTTTCCTTTATATTCTGTTTTTTAACAAATATGTTATTTTATGATTAGTATATTCTACCATGATTGACTATAGTTAATTAGTTAAGTACAGTCAAATTTTGATTTGATTAAAAGTAAACTATGTATCTTTAGCTTCGTCTTCGAAAAGTGAGAGTCAAGAATTTAAATAAAATTAAGCAAACTACAGATAAGTTACGTAAATTTTATAGTAGACAAACGATTTTTGCGGGTGTTATGTCGCAAAACAACTTCTAGAATATTTGAATAAAAAATCAAGGGAATACGTCATACTTAATAGCTTGTCAGCAATTAGGAAAATCTAAAACAATCATTTTATGACTTCTTTCTACCTAACGTAGTTCCAAAAAAAAAGTCTGATTTCTTCACATAATTGTACCAACATAATTCTTTGTACAGCAGCGTTCTGGTATTTTGTTCCCAGTTATTGCAACTAAATAATAAAAACAATTCGACAGCTCTTAACAAATCAACACGATCTTGTATAACTATGGACGCAAATAGAATATCATTTTAAGGCAATGCAAGGTAGGTAAGGGTTTGGCTCATACTCTTACTCCGCAAACATTTGGTGTGAACTTATCGCGGGCATACTACTAATCGAAAGTACCTGCTTCAATAAGTAGAACGTTCCATTTTGGATTTTCTGACAGTCTGTTTGCGAGGACACATCCAGCTGTGCCTGCTCCTACAATTATAAAATCGTACTCTGAACGGATATTTGGTTCATCTCGTGGTTCCAGAAAGGTTTGTGCTTCTCCTTCGACGACGATTTTGACAAGGCCATCTAGTACTGATTGTTGGTATGTTGTGGTAATGAGTGCGAAGATGGGTATACAGTAATTCAGAAGCATTTTTCTTTCATTTACATACGTCGGCTGTAAATTAAAATGTTAAGTCTTAGATAAAATTATTAGGTACATATCAAAAAATAATGCGATATTAAATTTTTATTGAGTATAAATGTCAATAGGATCATAAAAATTATTTATGTTTTTATGGTGGTGTTTTATTGTAATTAAGTGTTATTAGAATATTGGAAAATGTTAAGGAGGATGTTACCTACAGTGCGTGAGTCTTTTAGTGCTTATAAGAGTTGTTGGATTATTATTGGATCTTGAAATACAAATGAGACACGTCATAGACTTTGATTACTGATTATGGGTAAAGAATATTTTTTCAATTAACGGTACACGAAACTACGTAAGCGAATATTTTGACATTTGAAATATATACACAATGTGCAATTTCCTCTGCAGGGTATTACCTCAGTATAAATTACGTCATTTTGACGAAAATAGGAATACCTTCAAGGTTGATTACTAGGAAAATTTCCAGAATCAAATAATAGAAAAGATTTTGGGTGGATCCGGTCAAGGTAGCTGGTTACATTATTCAGTGTTTAAGGAATTGTGTAAACAATTTTTTGAAAGATTATTATTAGTAGAGGCACATGTCGAAACTAATTATAATTGAACACCATACAGTTCATTTTTCGCTATTATTTTAGGTATGTCAGAAAATCAAAAACTCTGCAAACTGCTATAATGAATATGAGCTGTGGTGAAGTAAGGAAAATCAAAGAATTTAAATTAACAATCGGAAGAAGGGAAAATCAACGCAATTTTAAATGTACGAGTCAAGAATGACAAAAAGTAAAAACTATTTTAAATCTAGTTTAAAATGGAAAAGATATTCTGAACGAGAAGAACGCAGTACTTACTTCACGTTAACAGTGAAGTAAGGAATAATATCCAGAGCTAATGATGGCAGAGTAATAGCCGTAAAGTTTGGCCAAAAATATTCTGATAATGGGGTTGTCATGGGTACCTAAATTGAGGGTCGTTAACGTTACTACAGACAATACCTGTAATAAATGTGCTACGTTCAGACAGAAAAACACAGGTACGGACTCGAAATTTTATGAAAATTTTCATGCGAATCATACGATAGCGTGATATATTACGTGTCGTTGATAACATTTTTCTAAGTCTGATATATTATGGACCCGCATATATTATTATATTTTTGTGAACTCAAATTATTCAAATACAAACCCTCCTACGAAGAATAAGCAATCCATCTGCAGCTTGACAGTTTTATAACATGGCTTAACAAATCCGCACTTGAGTTAAGTGCCCCTGACAATCCCATTATCACAATATTGTTGACAAAACTATATAAAAATTATCTTGTGGACTCTGCTTAAATTGGTTTGAATGGAGGATGGCGTAGAGAACAGCTAATTTTTGTTTTAACTTTGGCAATAGATTTGTGTTTGATTAAAATTACTTATCGAAATGGGAAGAAAAAAAATTAGTAGTTCCCGAAAAGAGCTATGCACTTTTATGTAAATCGCTCAAACAGAAAGAAACTTGTTAATGTCTGTTACGTCATAAAGAAAAAAACTCATTCGACTATTTACGTTAGACAGGTATGCAAACAGGTAATTAGTTGCTTTGCAAAATATTTCTAGAAAACCAGCAAAATAAGCTACTTCCAAAACGTTAAGAACCAGTTCCAGCTTGTTTGAAAACAATCCGACTGTCTGTAATATTTTCAAGTTAAACGACTGGTAATAAAAACAAAAAAAAACATGTAAAAGTTGTCATAAAAACGGAAGTCCTGAGTATTTCCAAGGACTGAAAATTGAGAAGTTCTGGGCACTCTGCAAGGAACAGCATAGAAGAGAAAAAGTCCACCCAAAAATATAACTAAACTTAAAACGATTTAAAGGTATATTTAATAAAATTTTCAAAGAACGAGTCAAACACTCAGAAAAACCTGTTACGGACAGTGTTAAGAAAAAACTTCTGGCTATAGCTCGATGACGAAAATCGTCACACCATATTTTTTTAGGCGACGTAATTTTTTTAATTTCCTGTTATACAGTAAAAACATAGTGTGTGTAGTAGGTAATGCTAATAACAGGAAAATTTGTCTTTAGGTCCGGCTGTCAGCAAAAGTGTGGCTAGCAATATCATTGAAAAAAGTCTCACTTGCATTAGCTGTTTTGGTAGGTACCTATTTAAGAAAATGATGAAATTGATAAATAACTGGGAAATTCAAGTAGTAGGTAAATGAAGAAGAACTTGTAAATAAGTGTACTTCGAGTGATAAATAACGTTGTTTTGACATGTTAGCGCAAACTACTGTTAAAAGTTTGTATTCGTCAGAGCCACCAGTAGGTAAATTATCTGATCTTGTTTTTGTTTATTGTCTGTCTGCGACTTGCTACTTTCATGTTTTCTCGATGTTTCATGACCCCTAGAGTACAAAAAAAGTGGTCTCCACTGTCTATCGTCTGCGTCAGTTTTTATTAGGCAGATAATCTCTGAAATTACTGGACCGATTGTTGTCATTTTTTTTTATGTATAGTAGGAATATCGTGTAGATAGTACAACGCTATTCAAAATTTAGCTAATCATCCCCACCAACAGTTTGGCGTCCGCTCATTGTATTGCGTAATTAAGATTATCTAAATTTTATGAAACAATATGCTCTTGTACTTGTGGTTTACGATTTTCTTTATTATTATAATATTATCATATGTTTTTATCATTTAAACCGTCTTGTTCCTTGGACAGATTGTACTAACATCCATCAGGCCAGCGTTGGCACAGTGGTAGTGCGCTAACTGCAGATGAGACATCCAAGGTGTTCAATGTTCAATTATGAAATCAGGAACTGTTCATCCTATTGTCTCGAAAATGTAAAAATACAGTCATGGGGCGCACACCTATATTTAATAATAATAAAATAATAATTATCCAAATAACAGCTAGCCCAAATTTATATTCGGCCCGTTTTGCTGCATTGTTCTGAGGAAACAAAATCAGCCAAATTTCATTTTCTTTTAACGCTTGTTATCGGAACGTGCTAATGTTCGAATTCTTTCAAAGCATAGCATAATAAACTGTCGAAGTTATGAATGTACTGAGATATTGAGAAGACATATTTTCCCGATCTATGAAGTGCTGGGGAGGTAGCTTTGTCTGTAGGAATAAACGATCTGCAAGTCAGTGGGATAATGTTTACTTTTAATAACGTCATCTATACCTCCTTAAGCAAATACTTGTGCGTAAGCAACACAATTGTGAATCTAAATTACGGTGCGTGTTTTAAATCTGAGTATCGTGCTATGTACTATGTCTTGTACCTTATTATATATTATGTCATGTATCATATTATATATTATGTCATATATCGCATTATACATTATGTCATGTATCAGGAGACGTTATCGTACAAATACTGTGGAACATAATATGTTATTATGTAAGAAATATAGCAAAATTTCAGATATGTTGTTTTGGAAGTGAAGTTGGAAAATGTTAAATGATAAGTGTAAACCGGCAGCATCTTGTGTCATAGAAGGAAAAAAAAAATAGCCGTAAAATTAATTGGTTTAAGTTCTGTTTAACCAGGCGAATTTTTTTTCTGTTTCCGTTACAAATACGTTTGCCTTTAAGTTAGTCCTAAGAAAAGCATATTTTTTAGAGTGGTTAAGGGAATTGAATAGTGAAAATTTTTTATATCCCGTTTGAGGTGAACGGTACGTCTGTTCAAATACTTAAATATTAACATTGATGGGACAGGAAAATTATTATCTTATATGATCTACATAAATCCTTTTTAAGTATATCTTGTACATCATATTGCAATTCATGAATTTGTATTGTTAATTCATTTTAACACAGTTAACAAAAATATCTAGAAAATAAAATGAAATATAAGTCAAAATTCATTGACGAAAGGGGTATTTCTGTAGAAAGTTGTTAAGTTTAAAGGTCTTAAATTCCAAATTTCCATAGTAACGAGTTAAATTCATAAATTTGATGGGTTGTTTATTTTTTAAAAACCTTAATTTTAATAGGTTTGATTTAGAATTGCCCCTTATATCTAATAAAATTTATTATGGCTCTTTCAACAAAAACTCGTATTTAAGGTCTGAAGCAATACATTTTACTTTTGCAATTTCATGTGTAAAATATTGCATCGCATGCTGAAATACGTATCGCACAACGAAAAATCGCAACTGATTAACATGCGGCAAGTGAAAGTTACTGCAAATTCAGGGTCAAGGTGAAATAAAATTTAAAAAAGGCAACAAACGGAATGTGAGAAAGGAGTTTTCTTAAAAAATAAATTAATTGCATTTTTTCCACTGTTAGCTTGTTACTTTAGTATTTATTTATGCCTTAAGTGTTACTTATTTATATAATAAACATACATTTGTAAATTATGATATAAAAATAAGCTCAATTAAGTTTCGATAGATCGAATATTTTTCACTACTAAGTATAATTAAATATTACATAGTCGTTATTAAATCTTCAGAAATTAAAAGTAATTTAATTAATAATTGTGGAACTTAAAAAGGGGCTGTTTTTTGCAATTTTTTAAAATGAAAAAAATTAGGAACTTACATGTTGCTTCTTATTTATTTGATTTAGAATGAGCGCCTTGTCACAAGAATCACATTACACACCTGCCTTCCGATCACTTCACCGCGCTGCACTTGGTTCTGCTTTATGTTTCAGTGAGGTTGTTTTGTCTCCCTCTTTTTCAACACGCTTATAATTTGTAAATTATAGAATGTTCCCCCACTTGCCAACACAATTTTTTCAGTGTAATTTACCCGCCGTCTACATTGCTCCTTTTTTTTAAATGGATTTTCCAATTTTTTTTAGTTATAATTGTATACTTGTGCATTCTGGAAGATTTTTGAACAGTTTTTGATCGGAAAATTTCATCTTTCCATGATATTATGAACGTAGTAATTTTTTTTTAAATCTCGGCTTAGGTATAATTATAGTGTTACGCAGGTTGTTATAGGCTTAGATTTCCATGATGAATTTAATATTCACAGGTAGGTTAATACGTGGGCAAAATCACCCATTGTGACCTGATGTATGTACCACATGAGAACTATGACAAGTTTATAAGATTTTAGTTCTTCGTTGAATTTTAATTTCTAGATTTTCACGAATCCTTGCGTACAGAAATATGTATTGTCTTTTCTTTAAAAACTTTTGTATACATAATTTTACAAAAGAATATAAATAGGAGATTGCGAATTTTGTTTATTTACATATTTTAATGTAGAGTTAATCAATATGTTTAAATCTAATGAGCGTTTAGTATAATGAACAGTACGTAAAGGTTCCAATGTCGAGGTTTTATCTTTATCTGAGTTCTTTCTGATCGTTGTTAACACCAATTGCACTTTTAAAAGCTGAAGATGCGTTTATTAAAATGTCGATAAGAAAACAGTAATTGATAGTTTTTAGGTTTCGACAATTTTCTACTTTATTTACATCTTATACTAAATGTTTTAAACAGGATGAAATAAATTTTAGCAAAATTGACAAAAGAATCTCTTCTCTAACAGTGGGTTGGAGAGAACGGAGTAGAGTGGACAGTTTTTTAAACTATATAATAATTATAGTTAATATATTATACCTACATTATACATACTTTGGTGAATGGTTTTATCGACATTGTAATATGAAAATGGTAAAAATAATTTTTATTAATATTTCAAAAAAGCTAAAACTGTGTTCACTGTGCCATAACTTGACGCTCAGTTGTTACTAAAGGAGGGTAAAGTGATGACATGTTTTTTCTAAAACACGGAAATAACTGCCACATAAAGAAAAAATATATATATATATATATAAAATAATAATAATATCGTAAAGTAAGTTACTCTATGCTGTAAGAAAAAAAATTACGTGAAATATTAATAACCATTGAACCTTAACATTGCTTCCACTTATTAGTAGTGGGGGAAGGCAATCAACGTTTCTTGAAACCACTTTTTTTTTCCTTTTCAAGGAAAATAAATGCATTTCCAGTTTTTTTTTAATATTCATATAATGTGATCCACAAAATATTTAACAAATGTTTTTCTGATGTACTTAACTACATAAAACAAAACTTTTTGACTGTTTGGAATGTAGTGATCACTCAGTTATTATTTATTAAATGTAAGCAATAATGACCACTTTGCCCAATTTAGGATTGGCCACTATGTCCTCATGGGAACATAATCACTTTTGGGAATGTAAGTTTTTTTTTATAAACAAATTATATTTGTAATTTTAACTATCAATGTTTATTCTATATACACCACTACACATATGTATACATGTACATATGCATATATTAAAATAGAAGTTAGAGACCTTGAAGTGCGAAATGAGAAGAAAGATGAGCATTCAAAAATATTAAATATTTTTTTATGACGCGGGAAACAACGATAAAAAAGCAATATTTCTTCCGGACAATATAAAAAATTATGATATGAAAATTCCTAGGTCGTCAGAAATATATATACCATCGTCAAAGATGACCATCGCAAGATACTTGGGACCTTTCCATGGAACTGGTAATTTGATTAAAAAACGGCTAGCAGCTGAAATTTCAGATTAAAGAAAATGAACTGAACGTTTTCGTTCTATAATTGATCATGTGCCAAAAAAATGTTTTCTGCGCTCCCTCTATTGCAAACGACTAATTTTGCACAATCTAGTCACTGTGTAAATGTTTCGTTAGGCACAGTTGCGTGTAATGACTAATGAGTTAATGACCGTGTGTAAGGAATAGGCAATTACTTGTTTTACTAAAAATATGTTGGCAGTACATCTCATTTTCTTGTACCATTTATGGTGAATTGGGATAATAAAATGAACAATGTTTTTTTATTTTCACGATAAATCTAGTTAAGAGAAATATAAATTATATTCTACAGATAGTATTCTTTTTTTTTACTAAATTAATTCTTTTTAAAGGTTATGTCAGAGAAAAGTTTAGAGGGGAGTATTTTGTAGACTGTGTTAGACTGAAGGTCAAAGAAGAAAGTGAAATGGCTTTCTAAAAACGTTCTTCTCGCTTATGTTGGCGAAATTTCGAAACAATTCAAAGTATCGTCCTTATGGGCCATCTACTCAATTGTATTCTATATGTTAAATATAAAACACAATGTGAATATTGCAGAGAGAGAGAATCAGATGATTTTAAAAGCAATAAGCAATCAATTGGAATAAATAAAACTGATTTTGTACCAAAACAGATAGCACAATATTTAGAATTACCGAATCCCATACATATCGAAGATCATCAGCTACTGTTCTAGTAAATGCTGGAGGAGATCTCTTAGAATTGGAAAAAAAAAACATCAAGGCTGAAAATCTTCATTCGCACAGGGGTATGTGAAAAATTCTATAAACAGCAAATCAGGAGCAGCATTTAAGACTGTAAAGGCTATACAAAAGAAAACAGCATTTCACTCAGTAATATACACACTCTTCGAGTTCATCTTCAACTTAAAGTAATTGCAATAATCCTGCTCTTATTTTGCAAAATTGCAGTAATATAACTGTAAGTTATTATAACAGAACGGAGTAAATATTTTTCTGTTGAAATATGATATTTTTGGTGGCCACAGAAAAAGTATATTACACAACTTGAATGCAAACGCCTCTTCCGCACCCTATGGGGCTCGTGCACAATTTTTCGTCTTGTGCGTAATATTCTGCTTACTATTCTCGTTATATAATATACTATTACATTCGATCCGAGGTTGTATATACGGTTTAAGTAACTGTAATTCGTCCACTGTAGGCGAAGAACTTGCAAATGGGATGTTATGTTATGTCATCTATTGTTTGAGTACCAAATGCACAATTGTTGTAGGGTACTTCTTCTATGAAAGTTTGTCGTCTATCACTCTATTACTTTAAAGTCAGAGCCCGTGCCGGATGGGATTTTCAATACATTTTCAAAATGTAGGTAATATCTTCGTTATTAACAGACTTATTTTATCATTTTTGCATCACTTATCTTTAAAAATCAATATCTCCTTTATTTATGAAAATTTCGAAAAGCGGTTTTCAACACCATTTTCAGCTTACAAAACTCTAGACATCGTATCAGACACATTTCGAGTTTTTTTGTGGGAAAGGAGATACAGTAAGAAGAAGCTTCTAGCAGCTTCTTTTCTTCTGCGACATAAGCTTCTTTTTACTGTATCTCATTTCCAACAAAAACAAAGTCGATAGTGTATCTGATACAAATTTCGATAAATAATAATTAAAAAATTGATTTTAAAAAAATTACAACAAATCTCTAAAAAAAATAAAATCAAACTGTTTTTAACAAAACTGTGCGTGCAGTATATGTGTGTATACCTAGTGACACCTGTGGACAGGTTATATTCAAAATTTTATAAAAATGAGTATGTAGTGATTCCCATAAAATTTCAATTCCCCACCCATTTTTGGATCCAATACACATACTTTTATGTTTCGACTTTGTCTTGCCTTGAAAAATGCAAAGAATTTATTTTTGGACGGCAAAGTAAATTCTAGCTTTGGTATTATTTCTATAAATTTACACATACGAAAGTTATATAGGTACTCTTAAAAAAATCTACCCTATCAAATCAATAAGAAGTTGAACAAAAAAAACCATTTATGGCTAACAAATCGTGAAAAAAATGGATATTTTAAGAGCAGTTTTGAGCTACTAGCTGTTAGTTCATATTCATTAGATAGCACTATTGCCCCATATTTAGACATTGTGTCATGAACGATTACAATGATTGAAGTTACTTTTCCAAATTCGGTTGAAGATATTAAAAATTCATCGTTATCACTTATCAGTTGCAAGGTTTAACAACGGAAACCGTACAATATACATTAGTTTTTACAGCATAAAGTACTTACTTATTTTTGTATTTCTGATTCAACAATCAAGCCAGAAGAATGAATGCAGAACTTGCGACTGAGTAGCCCGTTGTTTTTCTCTTGTAGTTTAGATTTTCGTCTTCACGATTTTTTTTTTCGAAGCATGTTGATACAACCCCAACGTTATTAATTATTATTATCAGCTACCACCTAGTTTATCAGTTTATGCTAAAATTTCTTTGTGATGTTTTTGTACCGTTCATGCAAAGTCGCTTCCACCACACGAGAGATCTTCCTACCTATTCTCTAAGGATTTGCGCAATTTCGATTGAAGCTTATTGGATGTTCTTCATACCGATACTTGCTACGCTGCTAATTGAAGAAAGATTTCTCCAATTAATGTATTAAGAACAACTATTGTCCTGAAATCAACATTTTACGTAAATTTCAAAGTAGCGCACGTCATCTGTGGTTAGCATCTTTACCAGCGATTTCGTTCGATCATTGTTGACCCAAATGACATGAAAACACTTTAAATTTTGTTGTTTTTTGAAATACTAATGGTATTTCCCCAGAAAAAAACAAAACTTGAACCCTAAATAAACTACGAAAACTTTATTGTTGGCTTAAACTAAGCATACAAATAAGATGTGGAAAAATTTCCACGATTAAGCTGTGTGCTGGTTATAAATTAGTTTGTTTTTGATGATTTGACGTCAGAACTATTCACAAACATGTAACTAAGGGAGGTAGTAAAATTCTTTCTAAGAACATTTCCCAAATTGTTATTGCTAAAATCATAAATTTGGTGGAAACTTCTATGACTCCAAACTTCTTCCAGTACAAATGTGAGTTTCACAGTCAAAA